TTGAGTATATGCTGTATGAAATCACTGGAAGGATTTCAAACCAGTTTGGAAGAAGAAGAACAAGAACAAGAACAAGAAAAACAAGAACAAGAAGAACAAGAAAAATAAAAAGAAGAAGAAGAAGACTATTACCCCACCTACCCTCTTTTCATTGATGTTTCCTTTCATGACTGCTCAAAGAAAGGTAAACTCAAAATTTTGTTGTCAACTGAGTCCCAAGCTCTTGCTATTGCCTATACTGGACTCTTGAACCCTCATTTGAGGCTTGGGCTTTTCAGCACTGGTGGATACTTCCCCATTATTTCTAAGGACATAATTACTCACTGTGAAATCTTCTCTACCAAATGCTTCTGAGAACAAATGTGAGCATTTTAAAGGGAAGAAAATCAATTATACTGTCACTAATTCTTTATGAATTTAACTACTTTTTAAAAGGGAAGTGGAAGAAAGTCCTACGGGGGAAAAATCAAAATATTGCAGACACTTCTATGGAAACATCTGTGATATTTGAAATCATTCCAAATAAACACAGAGAGAGTAAGCAAGCACAAAGAGAGACAGAGACAGAAAAATAGAGAGAAAATAAAAACTGCCAGTCAGGGTGCTTTCTGTAAAGGAAAGTAACAAGCTGACCTTTCAGGGAGCCCAGAAGTACAGCTTCTAGACTATTTCCCTATTCTTTGAAGAGACTGACCATCAAAAGAGCCTTCTTGCTAGTGATGTTATGTGGTACTGATTCCAAATAACGAACACAAGAAGGACAATGTTTTATATAACTGAGGGGAAAGTATATTGATAAAATTCATTCATTATTGAAGAAAATTATATCATTTCCATCTAAAATCATCCAGAAGAAACAAGTTCAGTTAGAATCTTTTCATTGACATTGTAACGGAGCATGTTGTGCTGGAGTGCATTCGGGTATGACCTGTCTTCCTAATGCTGCCATCTATAGTATAGTATAGTATAGTATAGTATAGTATAGTATAGTATAGTATAGTATAGTATAGCATAGTATAGTTGTTGCTGTAAGTTCCCAAAGGTACCAGGTGGAGTTCATCCCATCAGTGCAGAGGACTGACAGGAAACCAAAAAACTTGACAGACATAGGTAAAATTTCCACAAGTCACGTCAAAGACAGCACTTCCCTGAGCGTATTTCCCATCCGAAAACATGAGCAGCCAGCCAAGCTCCCACACACAGCTTTAAGAGTGCTCACTAAGGCAAATTGTTTCCTCTTCCTTTACTAAAGAGCCTCTTTTCAATGACATTTACTAAAATTTCAAGTGTAATATAACCTTAACTGTCCAACAAGGACTAACACCCTTCCCTGGGAGAACTTTAGAAGCTCAGAATATGGGCAGGCAGTGGTGGTTCAGAGCCATAGAAATGATGATTTTTTTATTACTTGGATATCTTAGAGGAGAATAACAAAATGTGAATGATTTTCCCTCTCATTTGGAAGTTATTAGGAGACTTTCCTTTGTTCCATTGAGAGAGAAAAAAATATGAAGTTACAGAGAACCCATATGGCCAGCAGAAAACCCTATTTAATAGTTTTATTGCCAGAAATGTTAAATAACTTCCTGAAGAGGCAGTTCAAATGAACACATGGCTGCTATTAGCCAGGGTCCCTAACAAATTTGAAAATATGCTTTCTATGGGAATTCTCTCTTAAGCAACAATTGTATTTGGTAGTCCACAAAAAGTAGGTTTGATGAACACCTATATTTAACTGAGTATATACAGCCGGTTTGCATGAGAAGTTTCTGCTAATACCAAAAATAGATAGATAGATAGATAGATAGATAGATAGATAGATAGATAGATAGATAGATAGATAGACAAAGAGAGAGAGAGACTCTTGGACTTTAAAACAAAAACCCAACTATATTCATCGTACCTATCTTTAAAGCAAGGGATAAAAAGCCAATCTCTTGAACAATGCCTTCTTCCAAAGGATCCAGTGCCTGAAACCATTTCATTTCCACCTGGATAATCTTTTGTTTTAAGATTTAAATTTATATTTTTACTGCTATATTCATGTCATATGCAACATATATGGGTGTCCTAGAATGCAGAAAAGAGGATGTCAGATCAGCTACTCAAAGTGGGTTTCGGGAATCAAACTTGGGTCGTCTGTAAAAGCAAAAGCAACAAGTGTCCTTACCACTGAGGAGTCAGCTCTTCAGCCCTGCACCTGGGTAATTCTGATCATCTACCACCTGATCATTTCGTTTAACACCAGACCAGTGATAGAGCTCACCACTGTCACTCACCATCCGTTCTGAGGGACTTTTTTTTTTTGCCTTTTCATGTATCTTTGTCAACTAAATTGTGAATTCCACACTGAAGAAACTTGTCAGATTTTTGTGCTCAAGATATCATAAGACATGCAATTTAAAAGAACAAAAACCTTTAATTAACTGGATACTAAGTGTCAGCATTTTCCAATTGCTTCAATGCCTTACATCCATAGTCAATTTACACACAAATCATTTTCTAGAGAATCAATTTGCCTCAAAAAAAAAAAAAAAAAAAAAAAAAGCCAGTGATGAGCTATCCAGTTATTATGAGGTGGTCTTACTTGAAAAGAGACATTATCACCGTCTAGGCACATTAAACTTTGACTCCCTTTTTTCTACTTTTTATTATGACTGTTGCAGTTACTTAATAGAAATGAGATTTGGTAAATTAAAGCAGCATGAGGAACATGGTAAGATTCCAAAGTAATCAGCATTAGCCACTGAAATATGGGCACGGGGCATGTGAAGGGTGAGATAGTTTTGTCTTATAACTCAACCCAATGATTGTAATTTTATTAAATATTTTACGTTTTATGAATACATTTTTATAATCAAATATAGGAAAGTCCTGTCTGTTGAAAGTCAGATTGTAGTTTTGGGCAAGAGTTTTAATTTATTTCAAATGTCTTAACTATAAGAAGAGGACTATTGTCTAACTTCTGACTGTCCCAAACAAATATATGCACATATATTTTTGCAATCTCACTCAATATATTGTCACAGAACGTCACAGGCTTGTTTTCTCCATCAACTAGAATGCTCTGATAAACAGACATCCAGGCCAACATGCCAAACTGTATGTCCTAGCTTCCGTAATTGACCAGGGGACTGCACGCAAACTATTGTAATCTGCAGGACATTACAAGGCAGTTCTGAGGATTTATGCAGGTGAAAGTTTAGCCTACATTTACTAAACACTAAGAAAGTGTGAGTTGGTTTTCTTACTCTGGGGGACTTCCTCATAAGTATTCTTTAATTGCCTGTCACTTACACCCTCAACCTTGTCAGCAATCAAAAGGCTTCCATTGCCAGTACTCTCAGTCACTTAACCTAACCTGATGTTAGAACCCTTGTGCTGGAAACCCATACACTTTCGTCACATAACATGAGAGAAATCAAGCTGGAAGCTTCCTCCCTGCTGACTGGTTGTCATGGTGCCAGAGTGTGCTTTGCAGTACGCTGGGCAAGAAAGGTCAACAACAGTCTTACCCAGCTGTGAATCCTAAAAGCTTTGATAATGGCGACCTGGCAAGGTTGCTTCATTGGTGCACTAGTATACGAGTGTTATGGAAGGGACAAACAGTTACCTGAGGGAATTTCGGCCCCCTCCACAGGAAGGCATTCATACTTAGTGCCATAACCCTGCCCAAAACTCCTTGGCTAAAGAGGTCATAAAGATCCTACTACTATTATTTTTTTCAGGGAAAAAAATGCATCAAACAGCCTTCTAAGCATATATCCCTCACTCAAAGAATAGCGTATATCTCACCATTCCTCAGAGAAGCCTCCCTCTGTCTCTCAGTGTGCCTCTGTCTGTCTCTGTCTTTCTCCCTGCCTTTCTCTTTGTCTCTGACTCTCTGTGTCTGTCTCTTCCCTCTTTGTCTGCCTCTCTCTGTCTCTGTGTGTCTCTCCTTCTGACTCTCTGTCTCTGTCTTTCTTTCTCTCTTTCTCTCTCTCTTCCTCTCTCTCTCTCTCTCTCTCTCTCACACACACACACACACACACATATATAGTCACCACATATCACCTGTGTGAGAAAGGCTTTCTTGCTTCTTCTCTGTAAGTGATGTTCCTTGAAGACAGAAGAAGCACTAGATAATCTGTATTCAGTGATTGTCATATAGAAATCTTATTGGTTGCATAGACTTGTAAAAGCCTATCTAATTCGCATGCACACACGCACACACACACACAATGCCTCTGTACTGTTTTATGCAAGAATAATTGGACTGAGAACTAGAAATTCAAGCTCCTTAATTTATTCTGGGTATCCACAAAGAATAATTTGTGTTGTGTTTTGTAAACTTTTGAAATATTTCATTTTACTCAATCCTACCCTTATGCTTAAAATAAAAAAAAAACAATATTTTTTATTAATTTTAAACCTTTCATATCAATAAATTAACCCATGAAATCCCTTCCCAGAGTAATAGTAGTAAAGAAGGCTGCTTTTTTTTTTTTTTTTTTTTTTTACAGGGCAACTAGGATGCCTTACTGAGGGAGTTTTTCCAGGAGTCCTATGAAATATATGGGATTTCCCACCTGTTTAAAAAAAAAAAAAAAAAAAAAAAAAAGGCAGGAAAAAAAAGGCAGTGTAGCTCACTCAAAAGCTACTGACAGCAGAGAAAGGCCAAAGGCTTGAAGTGTACAGGCACTGACCAAATATTTTGTTTTGTCTCCCGAAAATAGGATAAAGAAATTGACCCAAAGTAGAGGGTATGTTAGTCTAACATACTGCCAATGGCATCTAAAGATAATACTGACCGATTCTAACTCAGAACAGAAAATCACTGAAAATAGAGGATGTGGCTCTCACAGCCAGGTCTAACGGCTTCACAGTCTGCTACACAGTGCTATTTTTTTTCTAATGTCTGGGTGTAGTTTTTACTACATTTATGATACATTATTCCTAATTGTATCAGTTATTTCTTTCTAAGCAAGTCATAATTTTGTGCATCTCTTTTCTTTTTTCAGGCTGTTCCGTGTACTGGAGAAAAGGAAACGGCTGGTGAGTTGACATTTGCCTTGTGCTTTCTCTCCTACCTTTTTTAGAATGAAAATCCACCTTAAAAATAGAAATCTCACTAACTATGTAAAATGTACAAACCGCATCAATTTCTATGGGAAATGTTGTTGAGTTCTTAGCAAATACAGCAGCTGTTCTCAAAAGGGCTTGTTATCATCCTATTGTATTGTGTTAAAAGGCTTCTTGCAGCCACAGAATAACTGCAATTTCAGTTTTTTTCTCTGTCTCTCAAAGGGGAAAAAATGTGATGGTGAGCAGTGTGTGGAGGAGCGGTCTTTGAAATTTGATTGTTGATATTTATCAAGCTTTATCTTTTTAATCTCAAGTACTTGTTCAGTAGTCAGAAATAGATGTTCTTAATGGTTAAAATGAACACTGCATAACTGAAAGTAGTTAGGAAGCAATGGAACTGCTGGAGAAAAGATGGTGTTGTTTTTCACAGTCTATGATGCCTGTAATTATTCCAAAGTATTGTGGGAAAATGGGAAAGGATTGATGAGAGTCATGAAAATAGGAAAAATTAGCCTGGAAATGGTGGAATTGTGTGCTTTAAAGTCTTGATCTTTCTCAATAGTGTCTTCCATGTTCTACCTAAAGAAAACAGGGACAAAAAGAAAAGCAAAACCAGTTTGAATGTGCACTGTCAATTTAAAGCGTGTTGCTTAGTTTAAAGACATGTGACATCATTTAGTTCATAGACATGAACAGTAGAGGCAAACTGCATCAAACCAAAAGAAAGTGTCTTGACTTCAAGTGCTCTAATGAGTGTAGGCCTTGTGGAATATGAGTTTTTGTCTATTCATATTTTCTTACGTATTTATTTTGTGGAAGGAAGTATGCATACAATAGCTTGGGTATAGAAGTCCCAGGACAATTTATGGGTGTCAGTTTTCTCTTTCTACCACATGGGTTCCAAAACCTTAACTTGGATCTTGAATTTTGGTGGTGAGTGCCTTACCCATTGAGCCATCTTGCGATCTTCTTCATGTACATGAATGGGGGATGTTCACCTTTCCTTGTGGGGATCTTGTGTTGTAGCTAGATCTTTGCTCTTTAACTCTGTGAGCTAAACTTATCTATCATGTTTAATTGGTGTCTGACTTCTTCACTCTAATACTACCAAGAGCCCTCCAGCATAGGAGGAAATGCTGAGAGTGGATTCAAGTTTCTATGGAGGGAAAACAAAACTCTGTAAGATGAATGTGCTCTGATCATACAGATTAAGTAATCATACACCTACTCGAATCAGGTGAGGTTAAAGTAAGCCATTAAGCCTTGTGATGGCCTCACACAGATTTTTGCTTGCCTGTCTAGTTAAACAAGAACTGAATGGCTAGATGTGTGTATATACATCCCCAAAACAAAGCAACTTAGATCCCCATTTTGCCTGGGGCGGTGACAGTCACTGTAATTCTGTAGACCAGCTGTGATTTAAACAAAGTGTATAACAGAGCAATGTTGTCATCTTATTCCAGAAGAACCGCAAATTCTTTCATTCTCCCAAGGAAGCCATTCAGGTATAAATTGTTGGCTGATGGGGAAAGAAAGACGGAAAGGAATGCCCTGTCTGAAGAGACAGAGTAGCCAAGTCCTAACTCCTCCGTCTTCCATTTAAATGGTTTCACTTGGACATGGAGGAGTCCTTTGTTGTATCTTTTCTCTGATATTTCAGAAATGCTGCTATAACTCAGAATTAAACACAGCATAAGCAGAGCACATCAACTACTTCCTGTTATCTTGCACATTCTCCTCCTCTACAACAGAAAGTAGCATGAAATTGACTGCCGTACTTCATAATATTTGTGTTTAAGTATTAAGGAGGCAAAAATTTCAAAGTTGATAGACTGCCTGGAGGTGTATGCCAGAAGTAGATAGGCATGGGCCTAGACTACTTAGCAAAATCCTATCTCAAAAAAAAAATATATATGTATTTTTTATATATATTTATAAATATGTATATATGTTGTATACACATATATATATATATATGTATGTATGTATCAGTTGTGGTGGTACAATCCTCTAATCAGCACTGAAAAGCTGATTAGATGTAGGAGGACAGCTGTGAGTTCAAGAAAATTCTAGATTACATAACAAATTTCAGACTAGCCTAAGGGTTGCAGAGAGATCCTATCCCAGGAAAAGAAGAAAAGGGGTTCTGCAAGTTGTCTCAACCAGTAAAGACATTACCACCAAGCCTGACGACCTGAGGTTGATCCCCTGGACCCAGATAGTAAAAAGACAGAAGTTGTGTTGTAACCTCTAAACACGGAGGAACACACACACATACAGCAATACATACATATATACATACATTCATACATGTATACAATGTAACTTGAAAACAGAGGAAAGAAGTTGATAGACTCAAGTCATGGGTTTTCGTAAGATCTTGCTGAAGAATTGAACCAGCTGAAATACATTCCCTTGCTCAGCCCCAGGCACATGGATGGCCCATACCGCATACACTTAAATCCATGTGAGTAGAACCAGTCATCTTACCTACATGAAAGCATTTATATGTCTGTGATATATTCCTAAATAAATTTTACTTTATAAATTCCTGGCCAAAGTGTTGTGCTTATGAGATAATACATTTTTTTTTAAATCCAAATACATTTTTAGGAACAAATTGACCCTTTAAAAGTTAGTAAATTCATCTGTCAAGGTAATTCCTTGTATTTGAACAGTCTGTGAATAATGGCAACAGATTAAATGATTCAAACAAAAAAAATATTATTTATTTCAAAAGCTGTGAAAGAGTGTAAGCATCTAACTCTTCCCTTTCTCTGCTTGCCATATTCTATGGAAAACATCATGAGGGTTTAGTATATGAATGTGACTTTATTTACTCCCCTGTAATTTTAAATTCCCACTGGAAAGAAGTGTGAAGATGAAGGCAGAAGGCTTACTCAGTCTTCCTGGATAATTGAGCTCCTTAACGGGATTAAAACTTCCTATCTACCCTAAGGGCTGCCTTTTTTTCTTTTCTTTTCTTTTTTCTTACTAAATGAGGCAGCCTATTGTTCCTTACTAAGAAGGTCTATTTTTAACTTGTGTGACCTCTCATCCAAGCCTGCTGAAAACAACTTCACTGGGCCTTAGGAGGCTCTGAACAGAATCATTTGTAGCACCTTGCACCCATCACTCTTGCGTAGCCTTTGTTGTCTAGCATGGCCTTAGCCATCCTGTTCCCTTTACTGCTGCTGTGCTTTCCCACCAGTCCTAGCCCTGATCTTCTTCCTCCTGAGAATCAGCACTTCAAGAAAAACACTTTTAAAACAGCATCCTGTGCACCCATTCCATACGTACTTATTGAACGGCTGTGTCTTTTAGGCATCACATTAGGTTATTTTGAAGAATTGGTTATGATTAAGAACTCAGACTCTGCTTACAGGAACTCAAACTCTCATTGGAGAATGACTTCAGTAAGTTAGTATCTTGCTCTTCCCAAGAGAGCATCTCTTCAGCACCTTACTCAAAAACTTCCCAAGAAAAGAATCATACTAAAACTGTTTTTAATAACCTTTGTCAGAATGTATTCTTGGGACGGAAATAGGTATTCTTAGAACCAACCAATTCAATCATAAAAGAATAAGATTCAAACTCACAAGTATTGGCCTATATTATTGTCCTCAGGCTACGATATTTTCATTATCTTTATTAGTCACTAAATGTGTTCACCTAGAGAATGGGCCCAATGGACCAGACACGATGGTCTGCTACAATCCCAGCAACACTCAAGTCCAACCTAGCATATATAATTAAGGCCCATCTTAAAGAAGAAAAAGAAAGAGAAAGAAAAAGAAAAGAAACAAAAGAAAAACAAACTGAGCCATGAGCCACTGGTTTCTTCTCTAGTACATCTGCTCCCTATCTGTATAGGCTTCAGCAAGTTATTTCACTTCCTCATTCCTTGTTTAACAGTGTAAATTAAAAGTCCTCCATTAGTGAGTCTTAAAAATATAGCCCATTCTATGACACATACCCAGTGTGAACTGGGCCTCATAAAGGCTAGCTCTGTCGAGCTTGTCTGTGTGTGCTTCCTCGGACAAGACAGAACAACTATCTACACAGCTGGCCTTGCCAAGGGAGATCATTTCCTTCACAAATCTGAGCTAATTTGGACACGTGTCATTGTAGTCCAGGCCCAGTTGGTCACATTTTAGCTTCTCTCTTTAAATTATTTTCTCCTTGAGAATGAAATTCTTTCTTGTGAATAATCTTCAATATCTACAAAAGATTAATCCTTGAGGAGTATATATTTCCCTTTTGCTCATGTTTTCATAATCATCCTTTATTCCCAGTCCAGTGGTATAACTGGATCTCCCAGCAACCTGGCCAGGCTCACAGAGTATCCAGCTGTTCCTGCTTGACTTTATTGCACAAGGTCCTCTGCCAGCATCAGCTTCTCCTCAACCCACACTTCTCCTGACATCCCTCTCGCTGGAGCCTTCACTTTTCACTGCAGTTCTTCAACGCTGCCCAGAACTGGTTTCCCTGCAGTTTTTTTTTTTGTTTGTTTTTTAAGATTTATTTTTTAATTATATGTGTATCTGTGTTTGGGGTATGTGCATATGAGTGCAGATGTGTGCAGAGACCAGGGTTTAAATCCTCTGGAGCTGGAGTTATAGACAGTTCTGAGGCACCTTGCACACCCCACAAACCTTGAGTCCTCTGCTGGAGCAACACAAGCTCTTATCCACTGAGCATAGCTCCAGACCTACTCTATAGCTTTTATAATGTCCTATAACTAAGCTCTATGCAATTTAACCTCATGTATCAAGTGTTTCCCACTAGGACCTTCAACACACACACACACACACACACACACAAACACATCTTCTTTTTCACTGGTTGGTTGGTTGGTTGGTTGGTTGGTTGGTTGGTTGGTAGATAGTTACCACATCCAACCAGAGAATGCCTTCTAATTTTTTATCTCTCTCTACTTCTGCCTTTATCTAGGGTATGAACTTTTCTTA